TGGTCAAATAATTTTTATAAGAAATCTGAACAGATTCTGTCGCATTTTAGTAAAACTACAATTTCTCCTTTTAGACTTGTCTATTTTTTTTTTTGAAATCAGTGGCAAATGAAAGATAGCTCTTATATCTAACTATCCCAAGTGGTCGTGCAGAAAAACACCATTTTCAGGGAAAATGAGACTTGTTTGAAGTCACTGTTTCTGCTGTGTTGTGAACAACACTTAGGACAAATATTTATTTCGGTAAGAAAATGGTGTCCAATGATTTTATAAAAATTTACACGTGTATAGAACACCTATATATACTCCCAGTACCAACAGATTTTTGACACAAGTTATTTTCAATTTATTAAAGCATTTTACCTCCGATAAAATCTGAAAAAGTGAAGAAAATATAAGTTTTGAGTAAAAATGAACCCACTCTATCTCATTTTACCCCCATGCAAATTATTTCAAACAATGGAAAATATATGAGCACATAAGAAGATAAAATCAGTAGCTAAACCATCTAATCTATGCTTGCAAGAAGGATAGAAATCATATAATCATAAGATTATCATTCTATCAAAATATAAACATGCATTGAGCTATTCTTGCTATGTGTCTTGCATATTTTTAATATATAGATTCAATTAAGAAAATATCTAAGAGAGGATAGAGGTTGAGTATTCCTACCTCAAGAGTTTTTACAAACTATTCTTAAGATTTGTTTTGAAAGGGTAACCACCAAGCACCCTCTCCTCTTCCTCTATTTTCTTTCTTTTCTACTCTTTCTCTCTCTGTTTTTTTTTCTTTGCTCAGCCGTGGATATGGAAAGGGATGAATAGTGTTCTATATGTAGGAGTTTGGAGGCAATTTATTTATTTATTTATGTGTGTATATATATATATTTTCTCTTGGCTTGGGGACTATTATCTACAAGATAGGCTTAGTGTATAGATGTATGCATGCCTTAGCATGCCTTGGCAGCAGCTTTCATGGGAGAAAAGGCAGCCGAGTGCTCTGCCAAAAATCTGAATTTTAATTTTAATTTTAATTTTAATTTTGTATTTTTATAAAATCATTATTTATATATAACCTATTCACTAGATGTTTTGCTCCTTACTGTCCTCTGACTAACTTAGTTATTATCTACTTACTCATTTAGCTTCCACAACTGTATTTAGATACAGAAATTTAATCATAGAAAGATAAATAAATTTATTTAAAGGAGTTTAATATTGGTATTAATTATGATGTTATTAACATTAAAATTAATAATTTAATAATCACTATTAATTGACTTAATATTATTATTAACAAACTAATTAGTTGTCCAAAAATTCAGGTTCTTATATTGGAATTCCTTACCGAAGCGCGTTTTGCTCGGCAAGAGGGTAGTTGATGGATTTTATCACCTTTCGAATTCTTTACCGAAGTAAATCTTGCTCGGCAAGAGGTTTGTTGATAGATTTTATCAACTTAGAATTCCTTGCCAAAGCGGGTATTGCTTGGCAAGAGAGTAGTTGATGGATTTTATCAACTTTAAAATTCCTTGTCGAAGCGGGTTTTGCTCGGCAAGAGGGTGGTTAATGAATTTTATCAACTTTTGGAATTCCTTGCCAAAGCGAGTTTTGCTTGACTAGAGGGTAGTTGATGGATTTTATCGACTTTTGAATTCTTTGCCGAGTGGATGTAGCTCGCCAAAGAAAGATGCCTTGCTGGGCAGATTTAGCTCACCGAAAAGAAAGGCTCCTTACTGAGCGGATTTAGCTCACCAAAGAAGGATGCCTTGCCTAGCAGATTTAGCTCGCCTAAAAAAAGGCTCCTCGCCGAGCAGATGTAGCTCGCCAAAGGAGGATGCCTCGCTGAGCAAATTTAGCTCGCCAAAAAGAATGGCCCACTGCCGAGCAAATTTAACTCGCCAAAAAATGATGCCCTGTTAAGCGGATTTATCTCGCCAAGAAGAAAGACACCTTATCGAACAGATTTAGCTCACCAAAAAGGAATGCACTAATGAAAGCTCGCTAACAAAAAAGCAACAGTTGTTAGGTTCACAAAATTTAAATTTTTTTGAGAGAGAAAGTGCAAAAACAACTGCTCCAAAGTCTAGCCCAAAAGGACCATGTGGTTGTTTGGCAGAAGATAGCACATGAAGAAGTCAAAACTGAGCTATTGCATTGTGATAGACCGAGCTGTTGTAGGCTAATCAAAGAACCGAGTGGACAATATATAAGAAGTTGGTTGGCTGAACAAGGGTCTTGGTCGGGCCCTACCAAACAAGATGATCTTCAAGTAATAATGCTTGTCAAGTCTAATTCATCGACATGCCGAGATTGGTTATAAAGAAGAGGATCGAGTTATGCATATATGCTTGATGACCGAGCAAAAGTAAGCCCACGACAAACTAGCCGAGAATTTTATTTTATTTTTTTCAATTCAAAGGCTTTATGGTGAGACCTACCAAGCAATGGAAATAAACATATTAAATAATATTTTGAACACTTCAGATAATGTACGTACAGAGTTTCCAAGTAAAAGAATATGCATGCCATGATCATGCATAGGAAACAAGGCATTATCCACCAAGCACTTCCATCAAAAGTGAGTAAAACTTACAAAATTGATTAACTTTTGAAAAATAAAGTTTCTAGGCCCTACATCCATTCCACCAAATGCAAAGCTGAATCAATTGCGTCAATTAAGTGCCATGCCAAGATGGAGGGCCACGCTGTACGGTATGTGAGTAGGCCGAGATATCCAAAAAAGGCACGAATAAATTGAGCTGAGATCAACAATGGCCCCCACTCAATAAATTTAAGTCAGATGCAAATGAAGGGGCAAGATGAAAAATGGCACTTGGATGCCTAAACTGAGCTATCTATCTCGGCTGAGCCATGAAATCCTATGCAGTAGTGCAGCGTAGACCTTGGAGACAAGGGATAAAACTTAAGTGAGCTAAACACATTCAAACAACAAAGAAGATGAACACTGAAAGGGCATAGTGTGTTTAGTAAATGGACTAAGCTATCCTAATCGAGCTTAAGCTAAGTTGTGCAAGTCCAAAGTATCCCAATCATGTTGTAGCAGATGGGATTAAAAGGCAATTAAGAGAGGAAATTTCCGTCGAATAGAATGGGCCAAGCTACCTCTTAGTGAGGGGAATTGTGCCGAACAAAAAGGTCAAAGCTAAGATCGTCAATCCATGATTGGCCAAGCAAAGCCAATAAAGATTGGCCAAACTGAAAGAGATGCGCACAAATCCTTACCGAGCTGTGAGGTTGGATCGAGCTGTATGGCCGCGTGGAGTGTGACCTGACCACAAATGAAAGTAGCCTGACTGAGCTAAACATGCTCGGCCAAGTTGTGAAAACCTTGCGAGGCTAACCGGCCAGGTTTAGCTTGGACTGATAGAACCAGTCTGGGTTAGGCCAAGCTGTGCAGGTTCAATCACAGCTGGGGATAACTCAGTTGAGTGCCTCTCTTGGTCCAGTACCACGTGGAGGATAAATTGCGTGCTGCCCAAATTATTGTTGTTTGTCAGGTTGTCTACTTCTGACAAGTGCACGCGTGTAAGAGAATTAATGGGCAAAATGTCCTCGCCCAAATACAATGGAAATAATGTGCACCATAAGGATAAGTGGGACAAGTTATTTATATAAGACCTGTAAGTTCATTCTTGAAGGTAAGCAATATTGAGTCAAAAAAATCTCTCATTCTCATATATTCTCTGAGGGTGCTAACTAAACTATCGAAGGGGTTTTTCAGCAAGACATACGCCATTTAACTCACCTCTATTCTGTTTGTAGGAGAAACAACGCCGTTTGGAGTGAAACAAATACAAAGGCAAGGAATACAGAAGTGAAGAATATTTACTCTCCGTACAACAATAATTTTATAATTTTAATAATTTAGCCTATAATATTTATAATTTTGTTAATTTTTCATCAAAAACTTATAAGGAAATCAAATGATTGAATCATATTGACATAATCATTTTATTTCTGGTAATGAAATCTCCATTTCCATTAAAATTCCTGTCATTCAACTAACACTTCAATGAGACAGTTTTAAAAAAACCTTGTCAAAAATATTTATCTTAAGAGCATCTCCAACGTTATATCTTTTTTCTTTTTTTTTTCTACTAAATTTGAGTAAAAACTCCATTTAATATCACGCGCTCTAGCAGATTTTCATCAAAACACTGGTTGACCGGGCAAATGTCGGGCCAGTCAACCGGCTAGTGTAATTTTTTTACAAATTTTTGCAAGAAGGTGATCATCCGGGGGGTCTGGTAGTAAAAATGACCTACAGCTTTAGTGGTTATGAACAGTGCTTTGATGAAAGGGACATTCATTTTTAATTTGATAAAAAAATTGAGAAATCTTAAATTTAATGAAACATTTGGTGCTGGGTTAAAACAGTAAAATGTGAGTTTTTTTTTAATTAAATTTAAATTTAATGAAATATTAGCGTTGGATTAGAAATGGCCTAATTATTGTTGATTTGGAATCTACGTTTTTTTTTTTGATTTATTTCGTCTTTAGTAAAAAAAAAATTATTTTTTCAAAAATCTTTAAGTTTCTAAATCCAACCCGACAAAACGAATCGAAAAATTATAATTTTTTTTCTAAAATTTCAAAAAAAAAAAATCAATAAAGATAAAAATAAACAAAAAAAAGTAAATTTTTGTTGCTTATTTTGAATTTTTTATTTTTTTAAAAAAAAGTATATATATGTCTTAGATTCGGTTTGATAAGATCAATTGAAAAAATAAAAAAAAATAAAAAAAAATTATTAAAGGATAATTTTTTTTGAAAAAATAGGTGATTTTTTAAATGTAGACAAAAGGTTCGTGTGATAAAAAAAAAAAAAAAATTAAATATTAATTTATTATCTTAAAAGAAAATAGAAATAAATGTTATAAACCTTGATAGGGAGGGGGAGAGAGAGAGACAGAGACAGAGAGAGAGAATGGTTGGAGATGGTGCCCCCCCCCCCCGCGGGCGGGGGGGGGGGGGGGGGGGGGGGGGGGGGGGGAGGGAGGCGAATCCAGAAGCAGAAGAGCGGAAGAGAAGGAAGAGAGTGGCGTTTGATAAGGGGATTATATCGGAGGCGCCAGCGAAGGTGTTGACGACGAGGCTGCTGAGCCCATCGAAGACTGTAAGCAAGCACCACGGCAGAGACATCCTCAGGAAGTCCCACCGCAAGAACAGGTTCCTCTTCTCCTTCCCCGGACTCCTCTCCCCCATCTCCGGCGGCAAGATAGGCGAGCTCAAGGACCTCGGCACCAAAAATCCCATTCTCTACCTCGATTTCCCTCAGGTAGGTTTCGACTCCATTCCCATTTCTTCTTTCTGTCCATCAATTTTACACTTGCTCAATCAATACTCAATACAATACCCCCTAAAATCCTGCCTGCCTGCACAAGTTTATTAAACTCAAAATTATTATTCGATGGAATGTATAGGGTCAAATGAAGTTGTTTGGGACTATTGTTTATCCAAAGAACAGATACCTGACCTTGCAGTTCTCTAGAAGTGGCAAGAATGTCATGTGTGAGGACTATTTCGATACCATGGTATGCTTTCGTTTGTCTTTAACGCCATTGTTTGGTTGGGAATTTGAAGAGAGATTTGGAAAGGAAAAGAGAATAAACATGTAAAATTAGGAAAAATGTAAGTTATTTTATTTACATTTTATCTATATTTTCATTTTCCCTTTCCAAATCACTTTCTAAATACCCAATCAACCACAACACAAGTGAACTTATTTTTTAATATTTTAGTATTTTTTATTTATCTTTTACTTTTTAGATACATACTTTTACGATAAAAATGGAAATGGGCTGGGTTGATATGTGTTACCCCTTCCCTACTTCTATTTAGTTAATAATTACTCCACCCAACGCCGAAACTTAAAGAGGCAGGGCATAAATTCTGATTAATTGGGAGGGTTCCACCCGGGTTATAATGTATTCAAAGAGTGATTGTTTTCACAGCCAGAATATTGCTAATTGAGTCCCACATGGCAAATTTTAGATCACCCACACATCCACAAAGAAACACAACTGCTTTTGAGCCGTAGGCAAAGGAAGGGAATGGAACTTGCTTTACAGTGGGTGGGATGCTTCGTGCCTCCTCTATACTTCAACAGGCCATTGGTTTCATTAGAAAAGATTGATGGAAATCACATTGTTCGTTGTACTAAATCCCATGCTTGTCATATACTCTTTATCCCACATTTCAATGGATGCAAGACTTCTTTATGTAGCCACACATCAAACACATTGAAGTAGCATAATTGATACACTTGTGATGGGATGGGGACCTACACCTTAACAGTTTTATTCTTGGAAAAGGAGGAGAAAGGAAAACAACATTGTGGGCCCCACCCATGGACCAATGGGTCCCACCTTTGGTTATCACATCATGTGGGGGTTGGTGGACCAATGGGTCCCACCTTTGGTTATTACATCATGTGGAGTTTTGGGTGGGTGGTGAGTGGTGGGGGGGGGTTGCTGTTTTTTTAAGGGGATTGGTTAAACCCAAACAATTCTTTGGATTCGAGAAACTTCAGATTTATCAAAGTAGGGGCATTTTGTAAATTTGCAGATTAGGTGCATTTATGTAATTTGATTTAGTGCCCAGGTTTATTTAGGTTGTTTGTTATGAGCTTTTTTTCATTCCCATACTTGTTTTGAAGTAGTTTAGTCTTAATTAGTTTAGGAAATTCTTGTTTAGTAGGATTTAGGAGATCCTTTTCTTAGTGGGAAAGGTAACATGATTCTATACAAGCAAATTTTTGTAAAGACAATTAGACAAATTGATCAATAATATTTCTTTGCAAAGGTTTATTATTTTTTCAATGATCATACCATTTTTTTCTTCTAGGTGGGACTCTTAGAAGGCCTTAGAGTGATTATAATGTTTCCATTTTGTTGGCACCAAAAATTATGTTTTTGTCGATTGTGCCTTGTTGATTATGGCAAGTTTATTTTAGTTGATTGTGGCCTATCAGTTGTTGCCAAATCTAATTTTATTAATTGTGGCCAGTCGATTGTGGTTTGTCAAATCAGACCATAAATTATCATTTTAAATAATTATGCCGATTATTATTATTATTATTATTATTATTATTAGTGTTCCTAAGCTTGCGCAGGAGGTAACTAGCAATGTGGGTCATGGTATCATGGCGCAATTGGAAGAACATAGGGCTTGGAAACTAGAGGTAACATATGTAACTTCCTATTAGTGTTTGAAGGAAGCTACTTGATAGTTTTATTGATGCCTATCGTGATATTAGGCGTAGCTTCTAGTTAGGAGTAGTCAATTTAGCAATTCTAGGAGTAGATCAGTGATAGCTTCTCCCAACCCCCTTTTTCTCTGTCGATCATTGTATTTTTCAGTTCTTTGTTTTGTTTGAAGTTCATGTAACTTGTAGCAAGTGACATTTGACTTGATTAATACAAATTCAGTTATGTTTCTATAATTTTCTTCTTTATTTGATCACCTCCAAAGAAATCCTTAATCTGTTTAAGGCATAGAACTCAACTTTTTTTTGTTAAAGTAAAAAGTGTTTTATCTGTCAATTTGACTTAACCAAACTTTTGCTAACACATTCTATTCTTTTAGGCTTCGTTTGGCATGCAACAGTTTTAGCCTAAAAGTCAAAAAGTTACTAAAAAAACAAAAAGCCTATAACTTATACCAAAAAGTCAAAGATTCCCTTTTCTCTCTACTTTTTGCACATATTTTCGTAAAAAATCAAAAATTCATTCCAAACATACTAGTTTTTTTACCTCATATTTTAGCTAAAAAGTCAAAAAGTTATTAAAATAGCTTATTCCCAAACGAGGCCTTATTCTTATTCTTAACTTTAATTTTCACAATTTTGACATCTACAATCACAACCAACCCTTCTAAGACCCTGTATTCATCCACAAAGCCTAACTATTTGATCCTTCAGTCCTAATCCATACAGTGATCTTTATCATAATTGCCTAAATACCTTGTTAGACCATGCCAGTCCAAACTTCAAAAAATTCAACAAGTTGTTTTTTTATTTCTGATCCTAAAATGCACTAAGCCTCAGCTAATTCAAGGCTAAATTCTTTCTCAATCCATAACCTTGCCTCTTTCTTCGTAAACCTTAAGGTTATAGCCTTAGCCCACGTATTTGAATGTAGCATAACCAACACCAGGCACCATTGATTGGTCTACATTAACTTCATTTTTAAGAGGGTGGGCAACCAAATCCTGTCCCACTCCAAACCCTATATTGGTGCTTAAACTGGACCTCGTCCCCATCTTTGCTTGCAACATTCAATTTTCCACCCTGATTGTGGTAGTGCCCAACTTTTTTAGGATAAATCTCAGCTTGTAGGTAAGAATGGGAGCAGCATTTTTTAGGGGGCGGTTCAGCGTCGGTTATTAGGTGATGTTTTTACCGATTGCGACTTTCTATTGGATGGTAGGGGTATTTGGAGGGGCCCGTCGCCTTTTTGTTTTGAGAACATGTGGCTCTGTTCAGATGGGTTTGCTGATAGGGTGAAGCGATGGTGGGAGAGCTATGTTGTGTCCGGATCTCTAAGTCGTATGTTGGCGTACAAGTTAAAGTTGCTAAAGGCAGACTTGAAGCACTGGAATAAGGAAGTTTTTGGTCATTTGGATGGGCAAAAGGCGGAGGTGTTGGCTTAAAGGAAGGGGACCGTAATACAAAGTTTTTCCATCAGATGGAAAATGTGCATTGGAGGCTGAATCAGACTGGGAAGATTTGGGTTGATGTGGTGGAGTTGACAGAAGAGGAGGAGGTTCGAGCGGGAATTGTCGGGTTTTATGAGCATTTGTTCAGGAGGCAAGAGGAGGGGTGGCGTCCGGGGGTTGATGGTGTGGAGTTTGGGGTGATTTCGGATTCTGATGTGTTGGGGCAACCGTTTTCTAAAGAGAAGGTGGTGGGTGCTTTGAAAGGGATGAGTGGAAATAAGGATCCGGGGTCCGGATGGATTTACTAAGGCTTTTTTCCAACATTGTTGGGAGGTCATAAAGAGGGATGTGATGGCAGTGATGGCGTAGTTCTATTAGATGGCTAGTTTAGGGGAGAGTTTCAATGCGACTTTTATTGCTTTGATCCCTAAGGTGGGAGGGACTGAGGATATTTGCCAGTTTCGGCCAATTAGTTTGTCGAGGGAGTGTATACAAGCTATTGGTGAAAGTTTTGGCCAATAGGCTTTGGTTGCAGGTGGGGGAGGTAGTATCGAAAGCCCATAATGCTTTTGTGGGCGGTCGTCAGATTTTGGATGCGGTTTTAGTGGCCAAGGAGTGTGTTGATTCTCATTTGCAAGAAGGGCAGTTGGGCATAATTTGTAAGTTGGATATTGAGAAGGCTTATGATAACGTTAGTTGGGACTTTTGATGTCTATTATGAAGCGGATGGGTTTTGGAGAAAGGTGGAGACAATGGATTTGGTTCTGTATTTCGACGGTGCGGATGTCTATATTGGTGAATGGGACGTCGGCGGGTTACTTCCAGACGTTTTGAGGTTTGCGGCAGGGGGATCCATTGTATCTTTTGTTGTTCATTCTTGTCATGGAGGCGCTAAGTCGATTGTTGTCTCGAGTGGTGCAAGGTTTGTTGGAGGATTTTTTTGTAGCAGATGGGGTTGGTGTTTCTTACCTTTTGTACGCTGATGATGCTTTGAATTTCTATGGGGCTGATCCAGAGCAGTTACGCAATTTGCGATGTGTTTTGCTATACTTTGAGGCGGTCTTGGGTCTGAAGGTGAACTTGGCGAAGTTAGAATTAATTCCGGTAGGAGAGGTTGTTCAACTTTCGACTTTGGCGGCCATTTTGGGATGCAAGGTGTCTCATTTGTCAGTGTCTTATTTGGGGTTGCCTTTGGGGGCTCCTTACAACGTGAAGGGGGTGTGGGATGGGGTGTTGGAAAGGGTTCAACATCAGTTGGTAGGGTGGAAGAGGCAATATCTATCTAAGGGTAGGAGGCTAACTTTGGTGAAGAGTGTGTTGGGTAGTATTCTGACTTATTTCATGTCAGTACATGTCATTCCTATGTCGGTGGCTCGTCGGTTGGAGAAGTTGTAGCGAGATTTTCTGTGGGAGAGTGATGGCGGAGAGTTTCAGTATCATTTCGTTAATTGAGAGCAAATTTTGCTGTAAGAAGGATGGGGGATTGGGAGTGCGAAGGCTATGTAAGTTTAATTTGGCTTTGTTGGGGAAGTGGTTGTGGAGGTTTTCCAAGGAACAAGGTTAATTGTGGTGGAGGGTGGTTGCTTCTAACTATGGGTTGGGGAGGGGAGAATGGTGTACTAGGAAGGTGGGGGGTTCCCATGGGTTTGGGTTGTGGAAGGGGATTTAGTTGGGTAGGTTAGGTTTTTGGAAACAAGTCTAGTTTCGAGTGGACAATGGAGAACGTGTGCAGTTTTGGAAGGGTCGGTGGTGTGGGGAGATTATTCTACAGGAGCGTTTTTCTTTAATCTTCCTGCTGGTGATGGATCCTGATGTGATGGTAGCTTCTTATTTAGGTGGAGGTGGTAAGGGGTTGGTTTGGAATATTACGCTTCGATGGCAAACTTAGGATTGGGAGGTTGGGCAATTGATGAATTTGTTGACCTTTTTATATGGGGTTAAGGTTGGGTAGGAGGGAGAGGATGATTTGGTTTGGGGAGTTCCAAGTGCTAAAGGTGTTTTTTTCGTCTCATCGTTTTACTAGACTATTATATGGTGATGGTTGTGTGACATTGTGTGTGGGTTTCCGGTGTTTCGTCGAATGTGGCTTTCTTTATGTGGACGGCAGCTTTTGGTAGGTTCTTGACTATTGATAATCTGATCCGTCGACATCATATTTTATTAATTGGCGTTGCATGTGTTGTGCAGATGCGGAGGCAGGGATCATTTGCTTTTTCATTGTCCGGTTGTTTCTCAATTGTGGGTGCTTATTTTATCTTTGTTTGGAGTGGTGTGGCCAAAGCAGGTCATGGATGTTCTTCGTTGTTAGGGGGGTGGTCGAGTTGGGAAGAGGCGGCGGAGAGCTTGGGCGTTAGTTCCTTTGTGTTTGATGTGGTTACTTTGGTTAGAGTGGAATCGTTGGACTTTTCAGGGGAGTGAACAACCGATTGCTCTTTTAGAGTCTCGGTTTTTGGGTGTTTTGTATAGTTGAGTGTTGGTAAGGGTGAATCCTGATTTATTTGTTTTCTTAGACTTTGTTGATGACTTGGTTGGTTAGGTCCCCTGTTTAAGGGGTTGGTTTTGTATTCTTTTGGCATCTTCTTGATACTTGGGCGATAAAATTTATTTATCAAAAAAAAAAAAAACCCTCAGCTTTATGAGCATCTTTCTCACATTTCGTGGGTGAGATGGAAAGATTATGACTTTAAGCCTTTGTTGTGCATGCTATATGTGTTTTTATCATTAGTTTGTTTTGTTTTACTTTCTTTTGTTAACTTTCTATTGGATAAAGGTGGTGGTGTTGGTTAATTTTTGGTTTTTTATTGCCGTACTATTTCCTTCTGGTGTTGAATATTGCATACAGATTTGACTTAGAACCTGGTTCTAAAACCTTCAATAAGCCTTAATCTTATTCCTTGCCTTCTGTTACTTCCTTAATCCCCGAAAAGTGGTTGATAATTTAAGAACACCTCTATGCATGCTTTCTTTTATCATTCATGGCTTTTGTCAATGTTATTGTTTCTCAGTTTCTTCATTTCTTAGATTGTATTTTCCGATGCATGGTGGATTGGGAAGAAACATGAGAATCCAGAAGAAGCTCATCTCGAGTTTCCTAAGGAGCTGCACGAGGTTAGTTCACCTGAAAAGTAGTTGCCTATGGGTAGTATATGTGATTTATAATTTTTAAATGTACTATGGTCAAACTTCCCAATGTTTTGTTGGTTCCAGGCACATCATGCGGAGATTGATTTTAAAAGTGGTGCAGGTGCAGCATCAGAAATTAAGCAGGGAGTTAACAATTCTGGATTGAAATATGTAGAACAAGAGTCTCCCAAAACTGACCTAGAAGATGGTTCATCTGAATGTCAAAACAATTTGGAAGATTTGCCTGATGTGACTCCAATTCGGCATTCAGAGAGAACTGCAGGAAAAAGATTTCAGTACTTGTCTTGACTTTTATACTTGAGTGACTGCCATACTAATTTGACGATGTGAATTCATATAGTCAGAATAACAATGAGTGCCATTGTTGTCTCATCAGGGGGAAAAAAAAAAACTAGTGTCATTGTTTATTATATATCTCAGTGGCTTTTTCTTCTTTTTTTTTTCTTTTTTTTTTTCTTCCTGCTTCTTCTTCTTCTTCTTCTTCTGTGGTTCAGTTCTCTTATGCATTTTCTGGGTTCAGTTTTGCAGAAGCTTCTTCTGGAGATGATGTTATTGCAAATGATGTTGATACGTTTGAAGGAGAGGACAAGAAAGGTGGCATGGAACATCTATCTAAAGATTATGCTCCTGGAAATATCCGATTATGTTTGCTTTGGCTAATTGGTTTATTTTGTTCTATTCGATGTTTATTTATCTTCTAATTTCATTGTTATTTATCCTCATTGGTTTCTTAGTTAATCAAATGACCTTTCCTTCTTATCATGTAACGTCTCCAACCAGTTACATCTCACTACCAAAGGCTTAAACTAAACTAAACTGGAAGTGTAATGCACTTGTTAATTACTGACAATTATATGATAAAGGAAGCATATGTTTACAGTTGTGAATAACTTGCATTCCATAACCATTCATCAGAGCAAGTGCCTATGTCCCACTCAAGGTTTTAAAAAGCGGCCGCAACCGTTACGTAATGCCGTTACGTAACAGTTTTGGTGGTTACCGCCACCCATTACGGCCGCTTTTGCAGTGTGATTGAGATTCACAGGTGTGTCGGTCGTAGCGGCTGCCGTAGCAGTCGTAGCGGTGACGTAACAGCCGTAACGGCCTGTTACGCATCGTTACGTAACGGTTCCAAACTGTTTCTTTCGAAAAAAACATACAAAAAAAAGCTGAAAATGGGGGAAGAGGGATAGAGAGAAGAGAGAAGATAAAGAGAGAAAATGGAGGAGCAAGAGATAGAGAGAGAAGAGGGAAAATGAAGAATATGTTATTGATTTGTTGAAACTGTAAGACTTATGTTATTCTATTCAGTTGCTATCACTAAACCATTTTGTTTGTGTGTCTATCTATATATTATTTGAAAATAATAATAATAATAATAAGTGTGGTCATTATCTATTTGACTTGGTTAAAATATGTATATGTATATATATATATATTTAGGCTCTTATTTATTCTCTTACTTTTGTCATTGTTTACCTTATATATAATAGTTAGTAATTGATTTTTTGTATAATATAAAGTCATTAATTATTAAAATAAAACATAAAAAACTCAGTTTATAGTGATTTAAAAATATGAAATATATTGGATCGTACTTAAAAATTTACAAAAATTGATCAATATTTATTTTTAACCCAATAAATATGATCATGGAAAAAAACATGCGTATCGATAAGTGTTTTTTCAAATTATGCGAAAAATAAAAAAAATTTACGATTCCGGTCAACCGCAACCGCGTCACCGCCACCGTTACGGCGACTGCAACCGCTTTTCAGAACCTTGGTCCCACTCTTTCATTTCATTGAACAAAAGACTTGATAGAAAGTCATTGCAGAACTTCCTTCCTGATCAACATATGAAAGGCCATAATGCACAAGTATAATTTTTATATCATTTAAAATGAGTTGCACATGTCTCATCATAAAAATAAAGAGCCTTCATCATATGACGGCCCTAGGTATTACCGTTTGCATGAGATTTGCTTATCTCTCATTTTTAACGCTTGAATGCGTATAGTTAAATTTCTTCCCTTGTTATATGGAATGTTTGAAAGCATGCTTTGCTAGTTCTTTGAGACGTGTTTCAGAAATACTTGCTTCTTTGAATAACTTATATTTGCATGCTCACTTGATATGTATTATACAAAGATTAGAAACATGAGTTAGGGAGTAGTCTTTTATGCAATGCAATGTAAATATATGTCTCTATTCTCTAATCATGGTGCTTAATTGTCATGGTCTAATTTGCTTGACATTTCTATACATTTGTGTGAAAACTTAAATGAGATTAGTGATTAAGCATGATTAGTAGACTTAATTGGATTAATTAAACCTAATCAATCAATTAGGCTAAGCGAGGTTGGAGACTTAACCTTGCTTGATTAGTGGTAGCCTTGATTAAGAGATTTCTTTATGATTATTAGCAAGAATTTAAGCTTAAAACTGAAGTTCGTACCTTGATTCCAAGCCTGACCAAGACCTTTGAGTATTTTTTTTTGTTGCTTCTCTTTTCTTCTTCTTTCCTCTTATTTTCTTTCATTTTCCATCACTTTATTTCTTATTTTCATGGAATTTTCTATCCACCAAATGGGAGATCTCCTTTCTTGTCTCTGCCTTTTATAATCTAAGATCAATTACATATATTATTGTCAGCATAAAGGAGACATTTGTCTCACAAACAGATAATGAAGTGTCCTACTAAGCGTGAGGTGTCAACAACCTATAGTTAATACAAGTGATTCATCACTTATGTTATTACCTTGCATAATCTTAATAAATCCATGCTTAAGTCTAATTAATCATGTTTAATCAGACTTAGGCTTTATGATGGTAAGCAACATTAACTTGAGTTATTAAGATCCTTGATTGAGTTAATTAGGATTATATTAATCTAAATTAAACATATATTAATTAAGAGTTCCTTTACAAGCATACAAGAGAGAGAATTTAATTTTCATGTTCTCACATATCCCTTGAACCACCACGTGTTGTGTGCACATGGGGACGATGTGGATCTTACACAGCAGCATACAAACATACACGTGTTAGCCTTTATGGGACATAAGGTTGACGTGTTCAGCCTGGAAGAACTGAGCTATATTTAAGGACTTGCTAGCATGTTGTGTGCGCCAGTCCTACTGCTTGAGGTTATACCATGAACCCAATCATCATGGTAGTTTTACCGCGCATCTCAGTGCTTGACGGTGGCAAATTAACCTTACTTCATTGTTGCCGCCATTGTACTGTGCCACACTATGTACTTGAGCTATCAGGCAGGGCTTAGGTATGCTGAAGTCATCAGTGCACATCGTGGTCCCTCGATCTTGTGATTTGGTGGCTAGAGATAGAGGTTTTGCTCGGCATGATGCCCCATGGGTGTTATTGCCTTGGACCCACCAGTCCCACTGAGAGAGAGACCAAGCCAGTGAGCTTGTGTACAGATTCTCAAGGATCCAGGTAAATCCTAACAAATTGATATGTTCTGATACATTCTGACACACTTGACAAAATTCTTGAAATATTCAGGAAGTTTGTTATTGTCACATGACCAACCTTCTATAAATAGAAGGAAGTACTCCTTACATTACAAGTTCTTCATACATTATCTTCTTGAGAGGCCATCTCTATACTCTGGATTCTAACTTCTAAGCTCTATACTCAGGCTGCATTACTCCAGTCTCTTGCTTGCTTTCTCACCTAAGAGTGCTCCATCTCTCTCCCATTTGCCCCCATCATCTCCGGTGTCATTGACATGTCCTCTCTAGTGAACCCTGACCTCCCGTTAAGCCTTTCTACTAGGAGTAACATATTCACAATTTAAGCAGGCACAGAACATGCTCAATCACCATGCACACGAGTGGCATAAAACAGTAACATATATGGTAAATGAACAACACTAACATGCAATGACTTGGTAATACCTAGGGTATTACACACCAATTATATACTGATTCCCTTAATTGGTAGATACAGACTGAAAGGTCCTGTCCTGTCATTTTTGACATTGACAACGAGGATGCTGCAGCATGTACACAAATTCAACAATCTGCTATGGCGGTGACAAAGTCAAAGGAAGTCTCTCACAGCAATCATAGTTCTCTTGTTCAAACTACCATATCTACCTTGTTTAAGAAAGTGGAGGAAAAGGTGAAATATTGCAACCTTTGATTCAGAGCATGCACATGCATGTATATATTGTGAAGTTCTCATTTGTCAATGCTGCATAGATACTGAAGAGTACAAAAATACGATCAACCTACGTTGTATTGTCTTCCATGTATGCAAGTATACTTTCTATTTTGGGCAGAGGTTTTGCTCAATGTGCAGAGAGCAAGGGGATCAAAATTTTGAAATGATGCCTCTGTATAATTCAGTAGAAGTCCCATCATCAAAACTCTGCCATGAGACAATATTAATAGCATCTTCTGTTAAATGTGGCTTTGAGCTTGCTGGCAGCCATTTTGTGCAAATGATGCCAAAGTTACATCTGTATCCGGTCCACCACTCCTAACATAATTGACTATCAGGGACCCACAATTGGAACGGCCTTTTTTGTATGGACTAGTGGTTTCAACCTGCATTAATCCCATGCTGTTGTGGAAGTGGGTGTGCCTTGCATTCTGTGTGGGATCATGATTTTAGGAATTATGACTTTTAAAAATGATATAATTTACTTACTTATATCATCATTTTCTTGGTATAATTCCAGTACTTGGTGGTCATTCCATATTAATTCTGCATATACAATGCTCAAAGGATGTGTTTATGCTCCCAGTAATGTGGATATAGAAAAGAACGGTTTCATTTCTTTTGGATCCTCATTTTTTGATTTTTACTTTTCATTTTTTGTGTTCAAGGCTTACATGTGATAGAGTCTCTTGTAAGATTGTTTACCCCACCTAGTCAACTTGAACTTTCAAGAAAATAATGAATACCATTTAGGATTTTAGATGAGACAAATAAACTTATTATGTATGGTCTGGTATGAGGGGGACAAGGAGGTTGGTTATTGATTGTTTTTCAAGATTTTGTATGCAAAAGCATTAGATAATGTAAAATTTAATGTATCTATTGATGTATTATTGATTGATATATGTTATTAATTACAAATGGTGAGGGACTCCTTATGTAGGAGATGTAGTGGAGTAGGTGGTAGTAGGTGGTAGTGGTAGGTGTGTAGTAGGTGGTAGTAGGTGGTGGTAGGTGTAGTAGGTGGAGTAGGTGATAGTAGATTTTAACAGCCCCCCGCAAACTCAAGTTGGATAGGAACTAACCAACTTGAGTTTGGAGAGAGTAACAAAACAAGAAAATAATCTGAAAAATAAAAAATGGATAGGAGACACTGTATGGTCGTGTCAGACCGTTGTAGAAGACTGTATGGTTATGGCAGACCGATGTAGAAGACACTGGCTCGTGTTGGACCGATGTAGAAGACAGTTTATGGGGTCATGTCGGACCGTTGTAGCCGTTGTAGCAGACAATGTTGTGACAGTTGTTGTGACAGTTTACGGAGTCTTGCTGGACCCTTGTAGAAACTAACCGGAATCAATGTCGGGACAGTTTACAGAGTCTTGTCGAACCCATGAAGGAGCTAACCAATTAATCAAAGGTAACATTTAAACAAAATAAATAAATAAAAACAAAAAATTAAGGGGCGACTGATATCATTCAACTTCCACCTTCCACATTAGAATCTTTTTAGACAATGGCATTAAAAGGAATGAAACTTTTAATGGCAGGTTCAATGCTTTCAAAAGCTAAAGCATTTTGCAAGCCATTTAAACTCCCTAAAAAACATGGCATAACCCTCTTGAAACAGATGGCCTGCGCCTTTTGGTTGTTTAACTTTTATTTATGCATGCATTCATAATATTATGTGTATATAATGTGTGAGAATAAAAAAAAGAAACAAAATAAAAGATAGAAAAATAATAATAAAACAAAACAGGTTTTAAAAACTCAACAGCATGCTAGAAAAGTTAACAAAGAAAAACACTAATATTCTATCATTTTTTAAATGCAAATTCCATCAATAACTAATTTTATTTTTAAATGGTAAATCGATTTGCACAAATAGGGATATTTTAATAAAATAAAACAAAACAATAAAAATAAAAAATAATAACTTCTTGTTGAATTCAAAAGTAACCAATGATTAATGTTGGCCACTTGAAAATTAAAGAAAAAAAAAATCTAAAAAATCAGTCATGACATGTAGGTTTCATGAACCGACGGAAAGAAAACCACAAAAGCTGCACCTAGCGTCCCAGCTTGGCTTTAGTTATATGCTCAATAAAACCCTTGCTTGGTTTTGTAAGCCTTGAGGCATTTTAGAACCATCTTAACTTCAGGAAAGCCTTAAAAAAGTCCTACAGATTAATATGCCTTTAGCATTTCCATTGATCTTTAATAAATCAAATGAAAGATGTAATCCAAAATTGCAGTAACACTTACATCTGTTTTCTCTCTTGTTCCTTCTGATGGGTATATATCATGTATCCATTCAATTTCAGCCACTCGATACCTTCATATATCATGGGGGACCAAAACAAAAGGCCAAATTTATAAATCAGACAAATGAATCAAATGTCAATTATATGAAGAGCAACCATAACATATATTTGACATTAAGTGGTGATTAAACTAACCCATCTTGATTCCAAGTACGTAGGATGCGGAATCTCCTGCGGCTTTCAAGCTGCATGACATTGAACCCTTGTTAGACAATCAAAGTTGATAAATGTACAAACTACAAAATGAAACTTGAAAAAAATAAAAAATAAAAACTTGGCAAATGAAGTGTCCCCGGAGTGTCTCTCCTAAAATAAAAATAAAATGAAAGAAAACAAGGGATAAAGAAAAGAGATAAAAATATTTGGAGATGGATTATATGAAAAACATCAGTGTGATGGTTTCAAAATAAAGTGGGGGTGAGGGCCCCTACAAAAGATAGATTATTGGAGAGTGGGTATTTAAAAAAGATGAAAAGTGAATTGGAAAAAAATAAATAAAAGAAATTGATTTGGAAATCAAACGGAGGAGAGAGAGGGACAAACCCATGTGAGAAAGTGGAGAGAGTTTGGGTAATATAGTATAATAAAAAGAGATATATATATATATAATAAAGAAAGTTGGAGAGAGAGAGGGAGAAGCATAATAATGAGTCATGAGTCTGAGATCAACAGGGGGCAGTGCTTTATAATAATAAAAATAAAGGTGAGATAGTGGATGTGTTTTGGGAACTGCGTGTGAAAGAGAGTGCAGGTTGGGGCTTGGACTAAGATTCAGAAGAGGAAGATTGCCATTACAGTGATAATATTGTTAGCCCTAAGCCTCCACAGCTACTGGAACAAGACCTGTTCTGGGAAGACGAAGAGTTGACCTCTTTGCTGTCAAAAGAACAAGAAAACCCCTTATTCCATAGTCTCGAAACAGACCCATCTTTGGGTGGGGCTCGGAGAGCCGCCGTAGCTGAACTTCACGGAGGAGGAGAGACGATCACCATTGAGATTCCAAGATTGCAGCCATTGGTGCCTTCCTAGTGTACCTGACACGTGGAATGAACTCCTATATGTTCAACTCTGGACAAGATATATTAAGGAGCAACAACAACAACAACAACACTGAGAACAGCAGCAGAAAAGATTGTCAAGTGGGAAGGTCCCTGGAGGGGACCATGAATATATTGATGTAGTCAATTACAAAGGTACTGGAAGCTCTGAGCGTTTGATCATTCTGAAACACGTTTGAAGAAGCTGTCATGGAAGAAGAAATTAGGAAATTTGGGTTTGTCCGGCGGGCGGCCAAGGCGAGATTGCTGCCCGCCGGTGAAACGAAATTGCTAGGTTCTTAACCTAGCTCTGATACCATGTAAAATTCAATGTATAAAAAAGAAGTAGAGAATTGTATTATTGATTGATATATATTGTGTTTACAATGAGTCCTATATATAGAAGATTAAAGGAGGTAGGTATGTAGTAGGTGGAGTAGTAGGTGGAGTAGGTGAAGTGGGTAGAGTAGGTGTGGTGGTAGGTTTTGGTACATTTTAACAGGTAGTAGGTGGTGGTAGGTGTAGTAGGTGGAGTAGGTGATGGTAGATTTTAACAGATAAGAATGCAATGACAGGGGAATGGATTTGCGCCTCCTTGCTGTCCTTTGTTGGATTACCTTTCCTTAATTATGTGTTGATGCATTGTCTTAGGGTGCTAGGATTTGCCTTCAAAAACCTACAAGGCTCTTTTTTCTGAAATTTTCAGTGAATCGAAGAGTATCACTTTCAAAACTTCATCCTGATCAACGATGCCAATGATGAAATTCTGTAACTGTCTAGTTGGCAGCTGTTGCACCAAGGTCTTTAGTGAACCTTTTCAAGATCAATGGCCATATCTTGGCTTTGTTAATTTTAGTTACCATGTTTTCTTGGCTTTTTGTCATACTGCCAAAACTTGTGTTTTCAAGTCTTTGTTCCAAATTTTCAACTCTGGTTTATATCTTTTATTTCCTTTTGATTTCATGGCTGGCCCCTAGGATTTTGGTTGCACCCTACATCAGAATTTAACCAAATTGCATCAAAACCCATTTAATTTAGACCACATGGTTGGCGTGATCATTTTAATCCTCTGTTAGATTTATTAGGCCATGTATCATGGATGCTTTGTGTTCACTCTTCTCCTCAGTAACATTACCTTATTGTCATTGGGATTCATCATCTTGCGATGAATAATGTGTGGATTTTACTTCATACTACATACGACTATTGTCTCACTGTTTGAGCTGCATCTCTTACAAAACTTTTCAAATTTCAGAAGGCACCGAGAAATCTAAGGAAGTCCCCTTCTTCAAAAGGTATGTGCTTGTTCTAATTGTTTTTCTTATCATGAGAATAGTGGAATTGGAATACTCAAACCAGCAAGATTTGTTTAAATCTTCCAGCTTCCAGCCAGAATTTGAAGCATGTTGTTTCAGGAAAAAAGACTACTAAAACAAAAGTGAGATATCTTTTCTTTTCTACTTTATGAAGTTTATATTGAGCATGATTCATCTGTAGCATATTGTTGCAATGTCTAGTTAAGGTGGGACATTGGGGTGCCAATGTGGGTTGCATTCTTGGTATTGGCTTAGATATATCATTATGTGCTAGGTGTTTTTGCAAGATGAGGGTCCACGGAAAAAAAGTAAAGGTGATTGAGGGCAGAAAATCTGGTCAGTCTCTTCGCTGGTTGTTTGATGTATCTTTGCTGCCTGTAAAATGGTAGTCAATCCTGGTTAGGGTCCATGAATTTAGCCAATTACTGTAGAAACGGATTCAGATTGTCGTCCAATAGCATCGACGATCATAAATTACTCATGTGGCTTATTGAAAATTCGGATCGTTTAGATCTATGAACTTGTAGCAGTATTTTCCTCTTCAAATGCTTATTGTTCAACTTCAAGTTTAGTCTTCTGTAATACGAACACTATTCAGATTGAAGGGATTTTTATTTATTTTTGGTAATTAATATTGCCAGTTTTAGTTTAATTCAATCATAAATGACTGTTCCCTATGGGCAATCAAATTTTGATTGCTTAGATCATCTGACTTTGGAAATAATAATTTTCTTTATGTTAGAATATTTTAGTTTTTTTGACCTACCTGATTGAAGGTTAGTAATTGCAGAATTGCACTAGAGAAAGTGGTGTTTCTCGTGCACAACCGATTTGGGCTCATTCATTTTAGGTTAGATGTGGCACGGTCAAATGGTGATAGCCCTAGTTTTAAAATTTTTTGTGACCAACTGAGCCATGTAAAACCAATTCAGCAATTGCCACATTCCTACTACTGTCACTTGGTATTCAGCCTTATTTTGCTCATGGAGGCTTCATTATGATTGGTGACTATTTTTGTAAATGACAAATGCAGTTTATTTCCCACATTCATCCATCAAAGTGCTTATCCTTGCCTCCCTCTCACCACATTCAGGTGTCAATGTGGCACGTCGCTTGGGATAGTGCTCTAGCTGACCCTTGCCTATTTATCACTACCTAGGAAGCACGGATACGGATACGGGATACGGATACGGAGACGATACGATACGGCGATACGACAAAATTTGAAAAACTAGGATACGGGTACGGCAGGGATACGTTCGTAAAAAATATTATTTTAACAATTTTTAGTAATGCAGTATGCATAAAAATAAAACTTAAAGCAAAACACAACTTGATAAAGAAGAAAGATTCTTACAAAACTAAGAGTCTTCAAGGTCAATAGTTTCAACTTGTTCCCCTTCATCAGTGAATATCACAAGACCTTAGCTAAAGCCAAAGCCAAAAAACCATTCTTAAATAAAAATTTCAGCAAATATACTTTTTTAAGTCATCAATGATAGCCTAGGAAACACGGATACGAATATGGTGATATGGGGATGTGGATATGGCGATATGTCAAAATTTGAAAAAGTACGATACGGGTACAACGGGGATACATTCATAATTTTTTTTTTTGACCTCAAGCTTAGAAGGTGGAAGAGAAGAACTCGAAAAAACTTGATACTAACGAAATCACGAGTCACTTGGATCAAAAGGAAGCCCTTGAGACGATCTACAATCTATTTCAAAGGACCAAGATGAGAAGGTACTTCCAAGTGAGTAGATCTGAAGATCTAGGTGAGAAAAGTAGAGTTTTGAGAGAAAAGAGAGAAATTACGGTTTAGAGAGAGAAGTGAGAGAGACAACAAGGATACATCAATTTGACAAATTCTATTACTTAAGCTCTCACTATATTCCTCTTATGAAAGAACTAAACAAAATATTATAAGTAATATGTAACTTCGAGTATCCGATACTTCAAAATTAAGTATCCGATACTTCAAAATTAATAAAAAATTAATTAAGAAGTATCCGATACTTTTAAGAAGTATCCGATATGTATCCGCGAGTATTCGAGGAGTATCGGTATTCGATAAGTATCCGATACGGATACGTCACCCTTTTTGAAGTATCTGTGCTTCATAGATCACTACACACGGGCTCTGGTGCACCGTATCGCAAATAGGAACTTCTCAACTGAAGAGTTCTTAGGATCTATATTCATAAAGGTGTGACCATTGGATGTCAACCTACCACAACTCTTCTCCTTTATCCAGATTAGAGACCAACTCTGTAAAGATAAAACATTAAGCACGGCACATGGAGCTAGTCACCAAATGTAGCAAATAAAAAATTTGTTTTTGCATTAATGCAGTTTAAAAACTAGAATAGATTGCTAGATTGTCTAACATTTGTGAACATGTCTTTAATTAGGCAAATTGCAAAGTTGCAATGCAAGATTTGAAAGAGTCACAAAAGAACTGATTATATTTGAAAATTCTTCAGTAGATAATCCTACTGGGATTCATAACTTCATATATATAGGTCATGGTGATATTGCTGGCACTATGATATCTTTGATCTACACAATGGCATAAATCCAGTATACTACTGTTATTTCTCTCTCTCTATCTCTCTCCCTCTCACACACACACACACACACACGAGCGCATGCATGTGCCAAAATAAAAATAAAAATGGAATGTTAAATCTGTAATGCATTGGAAGTTGGTGAATCTTGTTTTGTAATGGTAAGCCAAAATTCAATTTGGTTAATGTTCTTGTTGGTGTGCTCATTTTTGTTGTTGCTGAACCTTGTAGGTTGAAGATGATGACATTGAAGAATTTTCAAGCACATCAAAGGTCTGAATTTTCACTAATATGCAATTTTACAAACTTTTGGTGACATGGCTGGTATAATTACATCAGTTTATTAAATGATGCCTGTTTGCAAATGCTTTGCACTAGAAGTAACAATGTCACAGTTAATCCTGTCCATTATGGTCGAAACAGTTCAGATCTCTTCAGTGATTATCCTGTCGTAAATATGGAGGCCATGACTTTCTGATCGTTGCTAATTTAATTCATAATTATATTGTTCAGGATAGTACTGGAAGTGATGACGATTGGACTGGTTAAGATTGCTGCATCTTGATGTGGACATGCTAAAACAATTTTCAACTGAGAAAGTATGGCACCTCACATGCGATTGTATTGTTTGGTAACAACTGAAAAAAGTACAGAAGCATAGAATCGTTTCTTCCAGGCGCTGGTTGAAGCTTATTGTGGCTTGAATGTATTTGTCTTCTTGTTTACTATAGAGAAAAAAGCATTATGTCAACCACATATGAGAGAGAGGGGTATAGCCTTCTGTTTTTCTGGTTTGTTTTGTAGAACTTTTGTTTCTTACGTGGTCTACAGTCAGTGCTGGCTCTATCAAAAAGCACATTTAAAATTTTTTATTTATTATAATTTCAATGATATTTTCTATAGTATCTTTTCCTTATGTCAATTTTGAAATAAAATTTTTCAAATTTTCAAATTTTTTTTGGGGGGCCAAATCATCATTTTCAATTTTCAAATCACTTGTTTCCCTTTTTAAGTCTATTTTCATTTTTTAAAGGATGATTTTCTTGAGTGAGAGAAGCGGTGAATGCTTTTTTTTTATGAGTTCAATGTGCAACTCATAAAAAATGTTTTGTAATTTGTCATGAGTAAAGTGATCGTTACATATGTCATCCTCCTTCCTCATAAAGCAGTGATTGTCTACTTAATTGTTGGTTCATTTGTCTTCCAAGCTGCTAGCATCACTTTCTCTTGAAAGCAATTACCATTGCCTTTTTTGCCTTTCTTCCATGGCTTTTTGGCTTCAAGGGACTCAATTTTTTATGTGATTGGGTTTCTTTGCATTCGTAGCATATGATTTGTCTTGTTACTTTCTTGATTGATTGCATCCTTTTTTTAAGGGATGACTTGAAGGCAACTCAGTCTTTTCTTTTTGTTATTGTCCTCGTTGTCTCTTTCGTTGTTTATCTTAACAAGTCATGAGATCCCAATAGCTAATCAAGACTAAATATTGTCTAGTCTTCTGCTTCTTGAATGACTGTCATTTTTTATTTTCAATTCCTTGGCAAAGACTCATCAATTACCATTTCAACATTAGTACAAATCGTTTCTTGATAATTCAAGTTGTTTATAATATTTGCTAAATCTAGTAAACATCTTAAAAATGGATTCATTCGATTTCATTTTAAAAGGCTTATACGTAATAAACAAATATATTTTTTTATTATTTTGAGAACATGTGAACAAACATATTACTATTAATGATAGATTATTTAACTTCATTTGTACCTTCATGTGTGAGTGATTTCTAGTCCACATTTTTCTTTGCCAACTCACACGAATGGAGTTCTACTTAATTTATTTGGGCCTGAAGCACATTATAATAGGATCGTGGATTTGGCATTGACTTGAGTAAGTTTCAAGTTCTCATCCCATCTTAACTCAGTTTTGGTCTTGGGGAACCTCCAACAGAGGTAACAGAGGTGTTCTATTTATAATGACACCATCCAAAGCTCATAGTCAGTGGATTAGTTGTCCAAAAAAAATGGGGTCAATGGATTGGATGTGAATCCTCATTCTAACCCTTTCAATAGTTATAGTTCTACTAATGATTGACCATCCCGAAGTGAACTGTACTATAGTTGCCATGTTTACTCTAAGAAGGTGAAGTCCAATGCAAGAGTCCAAACTCTAATATTAAGGGTTGATTTTGGATGTTCTAAAAAAGTGTACTTTTTGACTTATATGGGTTGGGTTTGGATTGGGTTTGATGTGATGTGTTATAGAGGTGATGTGATTTAAATAAGATGATGTGACTTAAATAAGATAGTGACTTTTTGACTTTTTGTATTATTTAGGTTATGCCAAACTTAGCCTAATTGTTACCCAGATAGGCAATCCAAAAATGGTGGTGAATCGGGTTTTAATTTTTTCCAAACAAAGTACATTGCAAGTGTCAAGTGAGCTAACTGCAAGCTATTTGTATATACAATAAAGGCAAAGAAAATGGGGAGAACACAAATATTAAATAGAGTAAGAGAAATAGCTATAGTGGTTCAACTCAATCGAAGACGAAGTGTCAACTTTCCAAGGCCTCTTCTTGAGTTTTTACGCCATGTTCTAATAGTTTACAGCCAGGAAGCTTCTTGATGCTTGTAGGACCTTTACACTTAAATGTTGTGTATAAAAACACTCAAACTTATCCTTCCAAAAACTATTCCTACTTACGCTGTGCTTAGTTGAGAGATTTAGGAAGAAATTTGAAAAGTGAAAGGAAAAAGGTGTAAAATTAAATGAAATATAAATATATTTTATTTACATTTCACCTACCTTTTTCCTTTCTGTTTCCAAATCACTTCCCAAGTCTCCCAACCAAACGTTAGGGTATACAAATTTCCTTTACTATTTAACCTCAAATACTCAAATCTCTCACCAATAATATGCAAACCTTTTACCACAACACTAATAGTGGCAACCCACTGCAACACAACACACACACCCAACAACCATAAGACTTGGGGGGTTGTGGTGGGGAGCAGGGTGTTACCGGTGGGGTAGGGTGGGGCAAGGGTTGTCCCATAATCCTGTTGTGAAACACACCCTGAACCTGCAGAAAGGGGTTGCAGTGGGGAGGGGGGTTGCCGAATAGGGCACAAAGTGGAACAATTAAAAGATTGGGAACTAAAATGCAACATATCACATACTTTGGGGACTAATGTAATTAACCCTAATTCAGAAATACAAAATGCTACACTTAACCATTTTTATGTATTCACTAATATTCAAAATGAGCCACATAAGATAATAAACTAAATGTCGTATATAAAGATCACAAGTGTAGCATTATTATTAAGAAATAGTGAAGTGGAGATCCAAGAACCACTGGAAAAAGATTTTCATTCATACCAATAATTTTATCTGTCAGAGAATTCTTCTTTTCATGGTTTGACCTGCTGATAGATAAAACCAATCACAGCACAGCACATTCCCCTAGCTAGAAGAGCAGAAGACCATGTTCCTGTTATCAATATACAACTCCCAATACCAAAAGTACCTGAACCCAAATCAAACTGAACCCAGAAGCAGGGAAAGAAACAAAGCAAAACTGAATGTAGCACTTTTCCTCTAAAATAGACGTACACTATAAATTAAAGCATCCAAATAACACCTAAATCAATATCAATGTCAGCAGAACCTGACATTGATTGTCCGAGGGTCTGATTTTCTATCACCTAAAAGAGAGATTTCCAATCCTGAACATAGTATTTTCCCTCTACAATATCTATCTATATATGGGTGTGTGCGCGTGTGCGCCCGTGCACAAAATTACACACAGAGCTGGGAATACCACGGTTTGGACCAAGGGGAGTAAAGTAAAGGTACCCCTGTAATTCCTATTTGAGATTAGTTTCTAGTTGATTTGCCTGAAAACTTTTGGCAGAAAGGGAAAAGGAACTACTCATACTACTCATATCTCAAAACATATTTTGCAGTAGTGGTTACCAGCGACGCCTAGAGAGGAAAAACTCATAATCAGGTTGTCTGTTTACAGATGGCAAATTCCCCTTGCTTACAACAGCTCTTGCCATAAGAGATGCCGTCTGCTCAAGTGTCCTCAACCTCTCCTTCAGAATTCCAGAAGGATTTAAATTTGGGATTTCTGTTGTCTGGCACTGTGCAGACTGCCTTAACTGGAACCAGCATTCACCCTGTCCATTAGCCATTCAAACTTACAGTAAGTATTTTATAAGACATTCTTGATGTCACCAAAAGCCAAATTTAGCATCTATACCTGAACTGCACACCAAAATTCAGTGAATACAGGGCAGTTCATTAGTTAATATCCAGAAAGAATTTCAGTAAATGGACAAAAAAGGCAGCTGCGAGGATAAGAGCCATATTTGTTTGTAAATTATTTTGTCATACCATAGAGAGGGAGAATCAAGATGACCATTGACACTATTTTTCAGAGTTCCGTTATCTTATATTGGACATTCCAATGGCCTTCAGTAATTGTTGTTGAATTTATGGGAAAGTGACTGATGTAACCAGTACAAGTAAATTGATCAAATGAACCCTATTACAGAGCTATTAAATAAGTCAAATCCATGTACATTCAAATGGAAAAATTAACAGGATGACATCAAACTCATCAATATTTCCTTAAGAATGGACTTGTCTCTGACCAACTTATAGTGAGCACATTTTCAATAAGCTTTTTTAATCAATGAAAAGAAAACTCTCAAGAACATGATATTTAGATTAACAGAGGTGCACAGTAAGCCTAATTTGAGAGGGTGAAAATGCTGAAACCTAAAATAAATTTGTAGTGGGGTTGAGTTTAATTTTGGACTTAAACCATAGTTGATTAGTTCTCACTATAGGCTGAATCGTGGTTTATTGTTAAGCATTGTCTACTTGGGTTGAGACCTGAAATCCGTAGTGAGATATTCACCTCATACAACACTTTAGAAAATGCCTATGAAGATGCTTTAGAGGCTGAACATTATCTAGCTAGAAAGGTTTGTTGATATAACCATTTTCTTCCGAATTGTCTAGTAGGGATCACACACTCGACTGTCGTTGCACCTTCCCATAATCCTGTTGTGAAACACACCCTGAACCTGCAGTTTTATTGGAAAAAGACAATGTTGACCAAGTTAACAATGGTTCATACATCTCATTTGACTAGAGTCACTTATGAATCTCATGATTACTTGAATGATGTTCACATGTCTGCATGATTTGGTCATCTGAAAGTGCTCAAAAAGTTAGAGATCCAATCACCACTAATTGTGACCTTAGGAAGAACATATTGAGTCTGAGAGCCCACTTGATGTTAATGTTGATCATTCTCCTCAGTCAGTTGACTTTGTTTCTTTGCCTGATAATAATAGTTCAATGGTAAAACTTTGGTCTAATAACCTTGAGGTTATGGGTTCAAGTCACGGGGAAACCGCTTTGTGCACTATGCCAAATGTTAGGTGTGTACTCAATCTTTCTCCTCCCAAACACACATTAATGTGTACTAATTGGGTGTTGTTTTTATGATCCTTTTTACTTTATCTTAACAGTTGTTTTGAAGATATTTAAGATCATCAGGACTTTGTCATCACCCCTCACACCACATTACTTCTTCCTCCAAGTACTTGACATTGATATTTAATGAAAATATTTGTGCAATTCTTGAATATGGATATAATGCATATTTTACTGATTTACCATTGAATTACATATTTGTCCAAAATTCATATGGACGATATTTTACTTGATCAAGGCCCTTTGCAGCCTCCTACCTCGATTGTAGATTTTTCTACAGGAGTTGATCCGTTCCTACTACCAGCTCATAACCAAGACTTTGTTCTCTTCCATGGAGCTTCTCATTCTCATCTTCTTGTGAAAGTACTTCACTGATCACATGCAATATGGGTGAAGAACAATTTCGCCAGCACGAGCTTCATCTTATGGAGTACTTTTATCTTCACAACTCTCCGGATGAGATGAGAGTTTCCCTTTCAACTGAGAAAAGATGGGGATAGAAAAGGCATTGGATAAAGATTTAGTAATTTATTTCGGCATGGTTTTATATTTGTTGCATTTATTATTTTATTAGATTTTTTTTGTTAGGACTTAATTATTATAGTGTTTTTTTTTTGTTAACTTTAATTTAATTAGGGTTTTCTAGAATGCTTATAGACATGGCCTTATGTAATAGTTTTGGAGACTAGAACTGATATGAATATTGATTAATGGAGATTGAGATATCATTTTGGGATTGTGACCTCTGATTTATTCTTCTTATTTGTTCTTATTGGCGCTACATCAATTAGCCACATACATAATCTAAGAAATTGCTTCGCAGAATCATCTATACTTCTGAAGAGATCTAATATGAGGTCAACCATCAATGATGCTTGTCAGGACCATCATCCTTTTACTTATCCTAGAGAGAAAAGCTTCTGAAACTCCAACAAGTTACGTCTGACTATCTTTCTTTACTATTCCTATTCTAATTCACATATATATAAGATTTATCTAGTTATAAGGAGACTTCCTTCACAACTAAATCAATATTTGGTGTGATTACTCCTAGCCTTACACCACTTCACAACTGGATGAATATTCTCAAGTGCATGACAGAATGATAATCTTAAAAGGCCAAAGCTTGATATCAGCAACCCCAAGGAGCCATGGGCTCCATCAAAGGGAAATTTAGCACTCCTCTCAGAAGAACCAGATCAAGTATCTTCTGCATATCTTAACGAATTAACAAAACCACTATCATAGAGCAGAAGTTGAAACCAAGACAGTTAGAATATTTACAACTGCATGACCATTGTGTACCTGTGCATTGTAACTCTGAAGGCCAACAACTGGAGAAACTATACAAGCACCCACACCAAAGGAATCAGATGTCCCACTTCGACGAACTAAATGACCAAGTGAATGGTAAGTCAAGAAAGCCGCACGGAAGCTGCCATCAGGTATCCTATAAATAGGATACCAAGCAACTGAATACCTGAAAATTGCATGGTTTCAGCAGATGCATCTAGAAATTCTCTCTTTCAGATCATAATTTATTTACATAATTGTTCTACAATCAGCTTGTTTGATCTGCTTCACTACATACAGTATTATACAGAAATACCCTGGATCACATTAATTACTGACCAGGATTTAGGGTGTAGATCATTTAGAGGCACTGACTCGAGTTTAGTGGAATCCCCATAGGCTCTGGGTTGTGAAGGTCCATCACCTCTAACCAGCTCTTTTATCCTGGAAAAACAAGTTGGGACGAAGATCAATTCAAACCATTGACCAAAAAGCAGTTTTTAAGTAAACAAACTGCAGCTCCTCGGGATCATCAGACAGACATGATACATGAGACATCATTTCCATTTCTGTAAATTATTGGCAAAGTTCCTCATACCCATTCTTTTGAATAACAAAGACAAGGAAATTCAATGGGAACAATCAAATAATATGTTGTAAACATCTATTGTGCATTTGTCCTGTAGGAAAAAATAACTGTCGTAATATGTAGAAAATAACAACTCGTACATTGTTATTAGTGAAAATGAACACATAATTATATTAGAAGCAATATTGTTCAGACGGTAATTCATTGTTCAATAATTTAGTACCATGCACTAGTATCGAAAAAATTGTGCACGGTGAGTTTAGGTGCAGAAGAAAAATTTCAACTACTCCAGAAGATTTGTAGTTGCAAAACATTGATAAAATTTATGCATATAACAGCTACAACATAAAGGATGCTACTACTTCATTCATTAATATAGAAGGATTACAGCCTTAGTAACCTTTATGACTTATCAAACATACAACTGAAACATGGAGACAAATAATGATGGTGAAACAACACTTACATTTCAAACAACGGTCGCCTTTGCTGAGGTTGTTCAACTTCAAAATATTCAAAAAGAAGCTCCAAATCATCAGAGCTTGTAGAATCATCCAATTGAATAGTTGCATTGCCTTCAACACATACTGAAGATGTGTCTGAACAACACACAGAATTCCTTGGTGACAGAGAGCTTGTGTCCTCAATGAGAGGCTGAGGAACAAGTACTGAAAATATTGGAAGAGAACCACTATTGGAGGAGTCTTCAGAACTTCTGTCCAACTTACAAGCCTCTGTACCAGGAATCCTACTACTACTTTCCAGAAGATAACTCTTACAGTTTCTAAAAAGCTGAACTGCTGACAAGAATGGAACAAAATATGCACGAAATGCGAAACGATCAATACCCAATCTTTTTGAATTTTCAAAATCTTCAGCTCTTACTTCTAAACCATAGGTCCCATGTTTCTCATACCACTGCCACAGACTCCCCAAAGAGATGTTGGGTGTCTCGTGTCTGCACAGAGGAGCACCAAATACCTCATCAGTCAAGCAAGTCTGACAGCTTAGAAAATTGTGTGGTAGAGAAATAACAGGTGATGCAGAATAAAGCAACCTTTCAAACTCAGCAATTGGATATCCAGTAGCCATTTGAACAGCTTCAGACGCCAGTTGTGCCCTATAGGCATCATTCAACACTACTGCAATCTTGCTTGAATCATTTTCAACAGAAGAATTATTTTGGTCTATTAGATCATGACTTGAGCACTTTGCAGCAGCATGATTGACACAGGACTCTTTCGGAGCGCATGTACTCTGACTACTACACTTCTCGATCTGAAATTCATCTTCAGAATGTAAGCCATTGTCATCTCTAGAATCCTGTACACTGCACATTACATGAGCATTTATTGAAGAAGTAAAAGTGTTGGGATCGTAAGCCATTTCCCTCACTGTGTTTTCCAAAGTACAACTTTCCATGGCTGATTTATTATGATTGGCCAATAGTGAACTGTTAGAATGGCCAGACCTTGCAAGCTCAGAATCTTTAATTCCAACAGGTATCCATTTTTGCAAAATGGATCCACAACTGTGATCTTGCTTACTGTGTTCTACAGAACAAACCACTTTGTCTATTTTGATATCTTCTTCAACTCCAGGAAGATGGTACTCTGTGGACAGCCCGTCAGGCAGCTCTGTTTGGTCTTGATGGTCACAGAAACCTGATAGAGAGCTACTTTCTCTTTTGGCAGTTTGATCATTCAAACTGGAAAGAGTAGCACAGACATGATGAAGCGGCTCCAACTCATTGGGACGACCTTCTAAGTTTTGAATGGGTTTAGAAGTAGTAGACTTGACTCTATTAGTTTGGAATCCATTCTTTTGGCTACCAATTTTAAAGCGAGATCTTGAAACACCGTTTAATCCTTTTTGCCCAGTAAATTGTGCTGGAATATCCAATACTTCATTCTGTTGCATGTTAATCTTCAGGCACACATTTGAGCTTGCCTTAGTAGCATAAGGTCCCTTTCTAGAATAATAGTTTAACTCTTGTTTCAGCCCAGAAATAGGTTTCCTTTTCAACTTTCTAGACGCTTTGACTTTTGACTGATTTTTATCTTCACATGTTGATAATATACTAGATTGAGCAATATTACAGTTCTTTCTAAGGAATGGAACCTCTTTCAACCCAATACCACTCTGTGAGTTAGCCGAGTTTACTTTTCTCAACCCGTAGCTGCATTCACCAGTGTCATTCCTCTGAACCTTTTGCCAGATGGAATGATTATTTTCCTTTCCAGAGTGGCCATAAAACTTTCCGACAGTGCTTAGGCAGGAGACACTTGAATTCCTGGGCACTCTTTTAATCTGCTTACCTTTCCTGGCCATTTCACCACTGATACATCCTTGCTCACAGGAGGTTGTTCCCTCAGTATGCCAATAGGAATCTTCAACACCATTTAACATGTTTCCATGAGAAAAACATCCCTTTTTGGAAATATCACTAGAAGCTTCTGAAAGATTAATTCCACCACTGTCTTTGGTGGAAAGTTTAGCATCATAACCAGCATTTATACTTTCATCACCATTTGAACAGACTGAAATAGAATCTAACACAGGAGAGTCCTTTGTCTCAGAGAAAACACTGGATCGTTGATCATTGAAACAACTGAGTTGTTTAGAATGTGTATCCTGCACTCCATTTAAGATAGAAAACTCTGGATAAACAGTTTGAACCCCATTTTCAGAATTGGGTGAAGTGTGTTCACTTGGCATAAAGTTAGCTTCCAAGACATTGACTTCATCAATGTAAGATGTGGATGCCTTTGGTGTTTCAGAATAGTTTATAGTGCCACAACCGTTTCCTTCAGAATCATTGTCCAGGCCACTATGTTCAGGCGATGACATTGCCAATTTAGTTGCATGTTGAAGTGGTCTGAACCCATAATCTGTATTCTTACTGACACCAGTTTCAGATGTTGAACTTCCATGAACACATTCAAAGTCAGTTGAGCCAGTATCACATGAAAGCTTTTTGTTTTGCGTTCCCTTCTTCCTTGCCTTCTTTTTTGAATTTCTTTTTACAGCCTTGTCTACTTTGGATTTAGCAAGATAGATATCAGATGAATTAGTAGCATTAGAGCCAGTTGGGATCATACCAGAGGAATCACTGCTGTTGAAAGGAGTCTTGCAAGAAGAATTGCCTGGCAACACATTACATCTACTCACTTTGTTTGCCAAGCCTTTGTTATGAGATTGATACTGAAATTTTGACCCAGAAAAGCTTCTAGCTGTAAATGACTTGACAGAGCAACTCCTCTCAGTTGTAAGCCCTCTCCGTGCCTTTTGTTGATCAACGCTTACCGAGCTAACCAGCAATGGAGAAACCAAATGGAGACCATCCAATTTTAGCTGAGATCCAGATCCTGTGTGATCAGGGCATTGCAATGGCAGTGCAAAAATTCTCCAGTGTCCATCAGGTTCTGGGTTGAAGAAGGTGAAGATTGTATACCTAAAAATTAATAAAGAATAACAAATCAAATTTATAAAGGGAGAAAGAACCGAGAGTTATACTAAATAATATGGTTATTTGTTTCTTCTTATAGTTCTCCCTTGCTGACAATCTATTGCCGATCCTGGCCTATAGCTCAGGCTCCCAAATCACCAAATTTACAGCTGTTTGTAAGACCCCAATACTTAATTTCTGAATCTCCACTCATGGAGAGCTGATACCAGTAGGCCATAATGCCACTCTTCTTTTTTGAAATGTGAGACATACATATATATAAATAATGATGTTGTATGATCATATTCAGAAACTACTATTTCTACATCCAAACATAGACATGCATAGAACAGTACTTGCTGTATGTTCCAGGAACTGAAAAATATATATATATATATACCATAAGCAAACTGATTTACAGGTGACCAGTATCCGATCATGATAATAGGTTCCAAAATTTGTTTTACCTATGATCAGAGTTCCTCCAAGCAAGAGAAGACACTTCACAGTCCTGAAATGAAGCATGAACATCCATTGATAACAAGAAAAAGTCACACGAGCCAAAATGAAGACGGGTGAACCAAAAAAAAAAAAAAAAAAACATCAAATGGCTTATTACAAAATACAAAAATTACGTTTGAAGATGCTCTTGAATTATTTTCTTCCAAAGATTTCCTGAATGTGGAATTGTTTTCCTGGTCTACAATTTTCTGAGTATTGTTACAGGTTCTTTGAAGAGCACAATGCATCTTTTGCTGTGCCTGTCCATGTTAAGAAAGCTGGTAAAAGAACAAGAACTGCTGGTCGGACAAGAACTAGCAAGAAAGATATCAAGATATTCAAAACTAAACTCCTCATAAAAATTAGTAGGCAAATTATCCGCAGTTATTAGTCAACCAAGGAGCTTCGAAACTCAGTCAGATGTGCTACATAAATCACAGTTGCAATAAAAAATTGAGGCAAAAGGTGTGGGACTTGGTAGGAACCATAAGGATAGTATAAACATAGCAGTGGTAAACAGGAGGTTGTTTGGCATCTAAAAATTTGAAAAGACCCAAACAACAATAAATGATTTCACCAACAAGGTTAGATCTCATCAATGAGTTCAGAAGGTATGTTGATGCTGGTGAGGAAAAGAAAGCTTCTCCATGATGCATTTGAAATGACTTCAACGTGACTTGATTTAAACACATTACAAAAGAAATCATATAAGCATGGGGAAAAAAACTGTAACAAGCAGATTTGACCATGGCGAAAAGTGGGTTTTAACCAGGTTTATCATACTTATAATGAATTAAACAAGATGTGTGTATCCCTCCTCCCAACAGAAAAGGAGAAACAACAAACAAATGGATCCAAACAGAAAATGGCATTGGCAGTGAAATACATGAGCTAAACATTGAAATTTCCATCTTATAAAGAAGAGTAAAATAAAGGATACAAATGTCAAACAAAGGCAGCACAATAATGAACCCCACTTATTGTCGTAGTATCACTGCCATCTCTATCTTGGCAGTCTTCTCAAGCATTCTAAGCAGGAAAGGAAGCTAATGGATTTAATCCTAATAAAGGCTTCATAAATGCCTAATTCAGGATCACTTGTGAAGATGAAAACTGCAATACAAATGTCATACAAAGGAAGCACAATAATGAACCCCACTTATTGTCGTTGTATCACTGCCATCTCTATCTTGGCAGTCTTCTCAAGCATTCTAAGCAGGAAAGGAAGCTAATGGATTTAATCCTAATAAAGGCTTCATAAATGCCTAATTCAGGATCACTTGTGAAGATGAAAACTGCAAAGAGTGCTATAACCAGTGGTGGACCCAGAAATCATGAGTAGAGGGGGCCAAACTAATGTGCAATTGAGCAAGTTTGATTGGTTTGACTGTGAAGCAAAGTCCCACATTGCCCGAGTACTAAAATAATGTTAAGCATATAAGCATGAGGGCACCCTCACCCCTTAAGCTAGCTTTTGGGGTTGAGTTCTACCCAAGATCGCGTAACATTGACAACCTCTTCAAATAATTGGTAAGCTACAATAGAATGCAAATTTATTACAAAAAGGACAACAACTGGGAAATCCAATAAGGTGAATGAGTTTTCAAATGAAAAAATTTTCCAATTTAGGTGCCATGTTAACTCAAAATTAAAACAGTAAATTTGTTACGAAATGAAAACAGAACCATCTAATAGTAATGACGTTAGCAAATTCTCCAATATGACAATAGTCATTTATCAAAAATGAGGCATTCAAATGCTTGCAATCAACGAAAAAGGTCCAGTTAGACTGTTAAAGGAACGTGTGTGGGGAGAACACAAAATAACCTCAAACTCATCAAGGAAAAAAAAAAAAAAACTAAATAGAATACAACTTCTAAGGCTCGAGGAACCCTAAGCATGTTTGGTTCGAAAAGCCAAAAAAACTTGTCTGGTAGGCTGCTTGAATTGATTATCATGAAAACAGAAATAGGTCACAAAATATTCTATTTTGCAATTTTTTGCATAATGAAGCATTAAAGAAAGAAAAAGGAATAACCATACAAACCGCAGACACAAGATAACGAAACCAACCACGATGGCAATGACAACAATGGAGACAATGTTATTAACCTGTTCTGAGGCATATGCTAACCTATTGAATTCAGAAATGTATGTATTTATCTTTCTTCTTTTTTCTTTTTTTCTTTTTATTTTTATGCTGACCTTGAAGAAACTTGAAGGTAGTAAAAGAAAATAATAACACAAATGGGAATCAGAGACATGTTCCAGAGAGCTCCTAAAGCCCAAATTGGGTGCCTCTCTCTCTCTCTCTCTCTCTCTCTATTGAGATTTGAGACAGTGGAGACAAACTAACAGAACACAAGCCTATGGAACTGAAATTCAACCACCAGTCAAAATTATCATTCGATAAATTCTAACCAAACACTCATGTAACCACTGAAAAAATGGAATAGAATAGAATAGAATAGAATAGAATGTCCATCAAAATAATATCTTTAAAAAAAATATTCAGAAAAAAAAAAAAAAAAAAAAAAAAAACTTAATGGTAGGTGAAGCTTTCCCCAGATTTAGGGGAGGAAAAGAACGAAAAATATAACAAACCGCCAAATTTGTCAGAGAAATCCCTTAAATTTCTCCAACCCCAAATTTGTTAGCCGGAAATTCAGCAAAAGGAAAAACGAAAACACACACACACACAAAATAAAAGCTTCATTGAAAAATCAGTATAATGCATGTGGGAGCAATTCAATCACACATATTCATTATACCCATCTATATACAACCATCTATATACAAATATACATACATGTATATAGGGAAAAAGATCGAAAAGTTGGCTCAGATATTTTGTGCTAAATTTAGATAGCAGAAACAACAGCGAGATAGTAGTGTGTGTGTGTGTGTGTGTGTGTGTGAGAGAGAGAGAGAGAGAGCTACCATAACATGAAGCTGAAGTCGAATCTGTTTTCTTTGCTATTTAGAGTTCTCTCCTTCTTCCTTCGATCTTCTACGATCAAAACAAAATTCTACCCTTTCTCATGTTTGGTTCAGGCAACAAATCACTGTGAGAAACGATGATGAGGAGAAACTATACTCCATTTTAACCACAGCTGTTAGGTTTGAATTTTCTAGCGAGGAAACTCATACTTGGAGGGTGCTTAGGAATAGGATTTTTTTTTTTTTAAGGTTTTTTTAGTTGTGAGATGTTTAGTTTAAGTTTTCTAAATTAAGTTTTTTGGAAATTGAGTTTTTTAATTTTTGTATTTTTTTTGTTTTTAGTGAATATTTTTTAAATTTTAAACAATTTTTTTACTTTTTTAGATGCATATTAGTTAGATGTATCTAAAAAGTAAAAAATTTGTAAAAAAATATTTTAAGAAATTAATAAATATATAAAAATATAAAAAATGTACTGAATTCTTGTATTTTTTGTATTTAGTGAATTTTTAAAAGATTTTTTTTATAATTTTTTTACTTTTTAGGTATATTTATGTTAGGTATGTCTAAAAAGTAAAAGGAACACAATACTCACAATTGTACGGTTATTAGAATCTATTTCGGATATCAATAATTTAAATTGTTTATTTTTAAAATATATTAAGTAAAATATATTTATAAAAAATCAAATTGATCAAGTGTCTAACTATTTCATTGAATTGCATTTCAAATGAAAACTCCAATCATTTGCAAAGTAATGAAAAAATTAAATTTGCCCGGGCTTTATAGATTGTCTTAATTATTAAATGGGGTTTTCTAAAAAAATGAAAAGAAATAATTAAAGCAAAAAAATAAAAATAAAGACAGATATCTCAAATAACCCCAAAAAAAAAAAAAAAATATTCCATTTTATTTCTCATTAAATGTAGTGGTATTTACGGATGAGCAATTTTGGTTAAAATAATTAATAAATATAAAGATAAAATATAGGAAATTTTTTTAAGATTTTTGATATTAAGATTTTATAGTATAAAAAATATTTAATATTTTTATAATATCTGAAATTCCTCAATATTGACTTAGAAAAAATTCGATCTACAGAATTTCTCTAGACTTCTGGGAGAAATTCTCTCTAGAGAAATTTTCCAAAGAGAAATTATGAGAAGGCTAAATAATTTCTCTAGATTCTAGTCTAGAGATTTTCTCTAGATTTCCAGAAAATTTCTCTGATTTTCGCAAGAATTTCTTTGCATTCAAATCAGAAAATTTCTATGCTTTTCCAGTTACGATGTGCAATACACAAAATCAATCACCTAAATAAGTAACAACAACAACCAATATACATATATATATATATAGAGAGAGAGAGAGAGAGAGAGACTAAAAGGAGAATTTCTCTGGATTCAAACCAGAAAAATCTAGAGAAAATTGAAGGCTATGTTTGGTTGTATTTTTAAGATATATTTCTACCCATCCATTTGCGCTTCATGTTTGGATATAATTTTCAAATCGTAATTCCACCATACAATTCAAAATACATCTCCACTTCTCATTTGGTAGATTTCTCCCTTCGTTTCTCCATTGTGAAAAGCTTCCAACGATACATACTCTGTGTCTTCAATGTTCTCAATTTCTGAAAAGCTTCACATGAAAGAAATTTAAAGCTGAACTTCTGAAAAGCTTCACGTGGAAAGAAATTTAAGGCTGAACTTCACGAGTCGTCTTCCTCTCTTTGAACGATCATAGCTCAAGATTCTTCACAGGTCTTGTTCCTCTTTGTTAACTGAGACCTTCAAATCTAAACCATGTCTGTGAACCCCCTCTCCATTCATAAAATCGCATCCACCAGCTCCCACAAATCAACTGAGTTTCAGTTTGTGCATTGTTGAAGATTCACTCTCCAAGCAACGAAACAACGACAAGACCAAGGTCAAATAAATCACAAATTTCTCTCAAATTTTAAATTACAACTCACTGATTTCCTCAAACATCCCCAAATTCATTCCCAATTCATCTGTGTTAGGTTAAAATTGTGAAGTGTATTCTCGAATCAGACCCCTATCGAAGAAACGCATATCCACCTACTGTACCCACTCCGTCACCAGTGACAATTATTCCACTCCTACTGCTCTGGTACGTATATCCTTCAATCGATCTGCTATGTAATAGTTGAGAAACGGAAATGGTTATGATATGTCAAACCGGTTAACCACTAGGACAACTGACTGGTCGACCGCCAATCTAGCTCCCTCTCTTCTTGGTCGACCGCCATTCACCTTCTTTGATGCTTCTTTTCTTCTGCTTATCTCTACTGATTGTCTACTGTGTACGCTTCTTTCACAAACTTTTTTGCATGCAATATTCTGTTTTTTCTTGTTGTATCTGTTTTTCCCAACACTGTTAACAACTTTAATTGATGAATTTTTTTTCGTACCAAAACATAATTGTAGATGATTCTTGCATTGTTATTTTTTAATATCCAATTCAGATTTGTTTAGATATAAATTGTGTGTTGTTAGATGGATAACAACAATTCCGATGACAATCAAGACACAAAAATGTGAAGTTTCAGAATTGAAATGAAGCTAATAAACATGTTGAGAGACGAGGTACAAAAAAATCAAACAACAAGTCGTACTACTATGTGGACAGTTAGGCATTGGAACCATTTTGCAACTGAGTTGCAAAATCTGTATGAGTTTCAATACACACGAAAACAGGTGAGACAAACATATCAGCGACTGAAAGCTGATTACCAAACCTTCAAGCGATTGCAGACACAGGCCAGTCTAGGATGGGATCTCATTGTAGAAACGGTTGTTGCACCCGATGAATTTTGGGATAAGGTATTGAATTAACCTGTACCCTTTTTCAATTTTTTTTGTAACATTTGATCACACATACAATACGCTTATTTTTAATATTTTCAATTGTTGTAGGCAACAAAAAAATGTTAAGAAATTTAGGACAAAAGGATTTGAGTATTTTCAGGAAATGGCCGAAATTATTGAAAACTGTTGTGCCACAGGGGCCTTAGCTCATGCATCCACACAAGGAGCTCCTGACTCTGATGAAGATGATGAAATGCTCAATAAATTTTGGTCACTTGGAGCTGGTGGGAGTAATGCGGCTGAATCTATTGTTGTTAACATATTTGGTGATAAGTACATAGAACCATCAAAGGGCAAAAGTCACAAGAGGGGCCCTACAAATAGCCAAACTGATAGTGGTCGTTCTAAAAGGTCACGATCAAGTGGCTTTGATGATGTTTGCGTAGTTTTCACTACCTACGTACAGGCAAAAATGGAACATTCCCGTGCCCGATCAATAGACACAGAGGTTGTAAATGCAGGTGGTGATGAATATTCCCTTGATGCATGTCAAGTTGCCCTGTTAAAGCTTGGGGATATACCATCAGTCCAGTACATTAGGGCCCTAACACTATTCAAAAACAAGGAATGGCGGAGGTTTTTTATACGTATTCCTACCCATATACGCCTAGCTATGATCCTAACTTTGCAGTGAGGGAAGAAGTTGTGGCTTGATTGAGCTTGCGGTTCTCTTTGTGGTTGCGCAACATGATTTGATGATGTCTTTGTTTTTCTTAATTTTTTTTCCACCTTATGACATGCTCTTTTTTATTCGTCTTTCTCTGTTTATTTCTATATTTTTTTGAAATTGTTTCTGTTTTACATTTAGATATAATTTTATTGTTCTGCATTCTTTCATGTCTGTTTTCTTATTTTTGCTTCAACTTTCAATTTTACACACAACATACAATATGAAAAGATAGTAATGACAATATGACTAAATATTAATATGTTTTTTTCTTCACATGTATATTTCCATCTAGTTCGATAAATGACTAAGGCCGACAAATTGTAGCCAGTGGTTTATTTTAGTTTCACCAATAATTGTAACAGTTAGCATGTTGTTAATCATTTTTTTATAGTTATGCGTTATTGTGATGTAGCCGAAACAATATGTCATCCGACACAGAAAACAATGCAATGGAGAGGTCATCAGAGGAGGATGAGGTTATTGAAGATTTTATGAATTTTTTGATGATTGCTTTTATGAATGAGCATATGAATGTGTCAACTAGCAGACGACCGCAGCGAACTTATCCATTCAAAGGTGATAATTACATCTTCAATTTATTAAATGGTCATCCATAAACAATGATGGACATCATGTGAATGGATGCGCAAACATTCATTTTATTGAAAGACACCTTACTTCAAAATGGCTTTGTGGAAATTGAACATATGCATATCAGTGTCGAGGAATCGCTTGGCATTTTTTTGTACACTTTCGCACAAAATAACCGGCATAGACTACTAGTCGATAGAAATCAACACTCCACTGAAACTATTTGTTGGCACATCAAAATCGTTATACGGGCACTGTGCAAGCTTGCATCAACGGTTATCAAACCACATAACCAAGATGAGATACCGGCAAAAATTATAAATGATATGAGGTTTTTTCCCTGGTTCAAGGTATGACTACATGTTTGTCCTGTAAGTTTTCAATAACAGTAACAATTTTATTTTTTTTTAATGTTTTAAAAGTAATATCTAGGTTTGTTTCGCGTTTAATGTCAAACTAATATATTTCAAGTAGGATTGTATCGGTGCTATTTATGGCACATTGGTGAATGCGTAGGTCCTTGCCTCAAGGCATAATACATTCCGTGGTCACAAAGCTACGGTATCGCAAAATGTACTCGCAGCTTGCAACTTCGATATGTTGTTCACATTTATCAATTCTAGATGGGAATGTAGCACCCACGACAACACAATTTTAGTTGACTCAATTACAAGAGCTGATCTACATTTCTCACACCCACCCCATGGTGAGCGTCACCAAATAAATATTGACGCAATTTTAGTTAATGCAATTACAAGAGCTGTCTTAAAATGTTGATTTTGTGTACATGTATTTGACAGAGCATTACCTACATTATTTACATGTAGGCAAGTATTATTTAGTAGATGCTGGCTTCACGAACATGCTTGGATTTCTTGTCCCGTTTTGTTCCCAATGCTATTGCTTGCAAGAGTTTCATGGTCGTCATTATTCTGGACCCAAGGAATTGTTTAACCATCGACATTCGTCGTTATGCAATATCATAGAAAGAACATTTGGTGTTTTGAAGAAGCACTTTCCAATATTGCGGTTCATGCCAAATTACAAGTCTACAAGACAACAACCCCTTGTGATTGCATGTTGTATAGTGCACAATTGGATCCATTTGCATGCAACTATGGACTCCATTCTTCATGGAAGCTGATAATGAAATAGCGGCAAAAGCGGCAGAAGTCGGGTTTGTTAAAGGCTAAGCTGACTATGTTGACATGTCACAACATAGGTTGACGTACCAATTGAACTTCAGGGATGCAATTGCTACTGCTATGTGTCAAAATCATGTTGGCCATGGCTAGATTTGTGATGTGAAGAAATAATGTGAATTTCGTAGTATTATATATATATTATTACATTCGACTTCTTTTTTTTTTTTAATGTGTAAAACATTTGAAAATATTAAAAATATATATGTTAAAAAAAATCAACCATAATTTAAAAAAAATATTAAAAAAAATAATTTTGTTGTAAAACTTTTTAGTAAAACAAAAATATTAAAAAAAAACATTTTAAAATTCATCTATCTTGTTGGTGTTGTAAAAAATCAACCATAATTTTTTAAAAAATATTTTTTTTTTGTAAAGTATAAAAATATTTTAGTAAAACAAAAATATTAAAAAAAATGTTTAAAATTCATCTACTCATTGGTGTTCTAAAAAATCAACCATAATATTTAAAAAAATAATTTTGCTGTAAAATATTAAAATATTTCAATAAAACAAAATTATTTAAAAAAAATTGAAATTCATCTATCCCGTTGGTGTTCTACAAAATCAACCATAATTTTAAAAAAATATATTAATTTTTTTTTGGTTGTAAAATATTAAAATATTTCAGTAAAACAAAAATATTTTAAAAAAAACATTTTAAAATTCATCTACCCGTTGGTGTTCTACAAAATCAACCATAATTTTAAAAAAATATTATTTTTTTTTGTTGTAACATATTAAAATATTTCAGTAAAACAAAAATATTAAAAAAAAATTTAAAATTCATCTACCCCGTTGGTGTTCTAAAAAATCAACCATAATTTTTTTTAAAAATATTGAAAAATTAATTTTATTGTAAAATATGAAAATATTTCAATAAAACAAAATTATTAAAAAAAAACTTTTTAAAATTCATTTACCCTGTTGGTGTTCTACAAAATCAACCATAATTAAAAAAAATATTAAAAAAATTGTTTTTGTTGTAACATATTAAAATATTTCAGTAAAACAAAAATATTAAAAAAAAAACATTTTAAAATTCATCTACCCCGTTGGTGTTCTACAAAATCAACCATAATTTTTAAAAAAATTATTAAAAAAAATATTTTTGTTGTAACATACAAATATTTCAATAAAACAAAAATATTATAAAAAAAACATGTTAAAATTTATTTACCCCGTTGTTGTTCTAACAAATCAACCATAATTTAGGAACCAAAATATGATTGTAGACATATTTTTGTTGTATATTTAATAAGAAAAAAAAGTGTTATTCTGAAAAGTTACGTACTATCAAATGTGGTACCAACTTATAAATCATACGTACATTCTCATACCTATAATTAGGTGCTATGCACAAGTTACATGCTTTCAGAAACTTTCCATGAAAATTAATGGGTAAAATACTAATAGTTATTTTTGTTACATTTAATTCAATTTAAATTTTACTGAATATTTTCTTATTTAATATTTTTTTTGTTATAACTGTTATTTTACTAAAAATTTTACTAATAGTGTTAGTGATAGTATTAATTTATTGAATATTTTATAACTGGTATATAGTTACTACTTCCTTTGTCCTGAAATATTAGTCCCTTATTCCATTTTTCATTATCCTAAAATGTTAGTCCATTTTCAGAAATCAAGTACAAAAATAATATAAATTTTCTATTTTGCCCTTCTTTTAAATTCATTAACAACATAAAAAGTACAATTGTGACATTGATATTTCTCAAAAAATGTACTATCAAAGGGTAATTTTGAAAAATCAATTTTTTTTAAAGTATAATAATTGTACTACCAAAAAAGTTAAATTCCCCAAAAGAGACCATTATTTTGGGACAGAGGAAGTAATTGATATTATTTTATTTTAAATTTCACTGAAAAGTTGTGCAGCAGTGAAGGAAAAAGTTTGGTTATAACTATTTTTTTTTTTGTTAACAATTAATTTTTCCAATTAAATGTTAAGAGGAGTTTGGTTAACAATGTTTTTTTTGTTAATAAATATTTTTTGAATTGAAATTTGTAAAGAGTTTGGTTATGAAAAAAAAAAGGAAAATAAAATAAACAGATAGGTGCATCATTTAAAAATAAAAGCAGACAGCAATAAATTATACGGAAAAAAAAAACAAACACAAACAAAATACAATGACAAATGGTGCTTACATTCATGAACCAAAAAAATTAAGAAAGGAAACAAACAAGTAAGAACAGAAAGTATGAGTACATCTACAAGACAACTAAAAACCATAACATGCGTCAACTATTTAATCGCTCATTGAAACAAATTAAGTGTCATTGTCAAGTGGTGGTGGAGATGGAGGGAAGTAGTAATGGTAGACCTGAGTCACTCAATGGTCAATCTGATCAATGCGGTTGCTTGTCACTTCATCACATCTTTCAGTGTCTACACGAAATTCACCAAATTGTTGAATTAGTGAGTTCTGAGCAGCGGCAAATATATCGAACCGATTACCCAATGTGTCGTTCTTGTTCAATCGCCAAATAATCAGTCCAGTATTGAGGTTGTTGATTTGATGGCATGGCATTGTCATTGGGGTCTTCGGGATCATCAACTATTGGTGCATTTGCAACATTTATAGATCTCAATAAGTTGTCAGCGCCAGCTCGGGTCAGTGTATACTCTGAAATTGGTGAAGTGATTTTCACATATGCTTCACCTACAAGGCTGACATGATAAGCTTTGAAAATTTTGGTTAGTAGAGCTCCAAAAGGTAGTGACCGGCCACTGAGAGTACCAAGATTTGTAACCATCATTTCATTCAGTAGTATGTAGCATAAATCTAATGTTTGTCCAACTTCAAAACAATATAACAAATAAACATTATAAAATGGAACAGCATCAGAATGTCCTTTTTTGGGAGTGACATTTTTTACTATCCATCGATGAAGAATATAAAGGTGGGGTTTCAAATGTCTTGCCTGTAAATTAGTGCTAGTAAATCAGTTCTCACAAATTGTAGTATAAACCTCACTTACATCACCAACAATGTTAACTAGGTCAGACTCACTTTGAAGTTAACTTTGCAAATCTCTTGACTGAACTCCAATAATTTGTGCCAAAGTGTAGGGGTTCAGTGTGATTAGTTTACCTTTGACGTAAGATTTCAAACTATTCTCTCCAACTTGAGGTCTCAAGTGAAGGTAAAATAAATACACAAGACGTGAACATACCTTTTGTGGTAAATTGGTTAAATGTAGCCATCTCATCGTCTCCAGTCTGCCAACCAACAAAGGATCATATTAAGAAGGTAGATTTACCCTTCTCTTGGTAACAATTGGTCGGTTAGCAAAATTTGGATAAGCTTGTTCATGATTATATATGAGAAAATTTGGCCACATTTTGATCTAGTTCTTTTTGTTCTCGGCATGACTTATGAACGTAAGCAAAATGATAGCAAAATGTAACAAAAATGTATGAAAAATGTATAGCAAGATATATGAAAATGGTGTGCAAAAGGTAAACAACAGATAGCCAAAGCTCACCCTCGGGTTGAGACTTGCTGGAAGCTGGAACAGGCGAGACTGGTTGACTTATCGGATGACCCACCGGTTGACTGCCAAGTCGACCTGTTTGCTGAACTGTTCAACTTACTTCTACAGCTCTGAAATTGTGAATAGCTCTGAAAGAACCTTTGATCAAAGCTCTTGGTCTCTTGTTTTACATGGATATGAATTGTAAAAATATAGACTAAATTTCTGAAATTAATTGGTTGTGAAATTAATTGACGTAGATGGTGGAGGAGGTGGTTGTATCGTTCGGGTCTCTGATCTGATTGTATTGATACTATTTGAATAATGAATGTCAATGAAAATGGTGAAGAAGTTGGTGATAGTTGTGAAGTAATGAAGTTGTTGGAATGAATAAAGTGTTGCTGAAAGTTGTGAAGTGAAATTGTTGGTTAGCAGAGTGATATAAAGTCTCGGTCAAACAAATGGTCAAAAACACACTGCTGAGTTTTGGCCTTTTTTTTCTCTTTTTTTTTTCCCCCTTTTATCGAAAGCTGATCAACTGAGGTTTTGCAGAGGACTGATGGTTCTGTAGAATATGAGTTAAATTATGATGTTGTCCCTTTTATTTTTTTTCTAACATATGAATTTAGTATTCGCTAAAAGAGGGGTAATGTGGTCATTTCAATGTCAAACACATCAATGAATAGTCACACTAATATTATTGATGGTGCTTTCCATTTCACGGGTGAAATGGACAGGTGAGACACAATAATGAAAGTGAAGACAAAGGTATAGGTTCACGGATTTTTTATCATAGTAATAAAATTTAACAAATGAAAAAAATGTTTAGGTAGCATTTGGTAGCGTTTATATTTTTGGTTTCTATTTACAAAAAAATTATTAATTAGTTTTCATTTATTTTTAAAAAAATATAAATTACAAACACGTTTGCTTTGAACAAAATATTTATTGTCTAAATTTAACAAACATAAATAAAAAATATATATTTATTCAGGTCTAAAATGTTTATATTTATTTTATGTCATTTTATGACAATAGGATCATACACATTATAATTGAAAAAATAACAATTATAAGAATAAATTGGGAAAAAATTAATTTAAAAAAATTGGGAAAAAAATAAATTCAAAAACATTAATTGAAAAAATAATAATTGCAAAAAAAAATATTTGGGAAAAAAAGTAATTGAAAAAAAATTAATTGGGAAAAAAATTAATTGAAAAAAAATTAATTGGGAAAAAAATTGAAAAAAAGTTATTAATTCATTTTTTGAATTGAATTTTAAAAAGAGCTTGGTTATGAATGTTGATAAAAAATTTCAATTGAGTTTCGAGTTATGTTTTTTATTATGAATTATAATTTTTTGAATTAAGTTTTAAAAACTCTTTTTAAAACTCATAACCAAACAAATTTTCTTATTTCACATGTCATATCAAATTTTCAA